TTTTTGTGGATGGCTTTATTATCATTAGATGAACAATGTTAAAAAATAAAAAAAAAATGATTTCGATTTTATAAAGGCTAAGATCTTGAAATTCACAAAATAAATGGTCTAGATTCGTTTTTGGAGGGAACTCATTTTGACCATATCTAGGGTTCAAATTGTTTTGGGGATTGATTATTGAGATGAAAAGAGTGTGTGTGCAAAATTTGAAGTCATACAAATACCACAAACATAGTTTTCTAGAAGTGGTCGTTGCATTATACTATGATACAACCATTGCATTAGATCATTGCTATTTTTATAATGGAAAAAGTTTATATAAGGTTGCAGCCTTCAAATGTAGAAGCACAGATGACCTAAAAAATCCATCAAAAAAGGTTGTTTTACTATTAAAAAAACCTCTAATTGATTATCTCGACATCGAGATGTATGAATATGAAAAGAAAAAAAGATTTTGAGTCCTAAAATAGTGTATAAAGCAATACATTTTCTAGATCTTCTATTTTCAAGATTTTTATATGTTTATGGATCTACTTGATTTTAACCATTTTTTAAGTTTAAAATTTTATAATTAGATATAAAAATAGATTTTAAGATAATTCTAAAATTTTTTTCACCAAAATTAAATGATATCATCAAATTTGAAGGTGCTCCTGAATTGGATTGTTTATGATTGCAACCTTATATAAACCACACCCTTTTATAATTTGCCTCTTTTTTTTTTTTATAAGATTATGAGAGATTTTACAAGCGATCACCGTCCTAGCGTTTCCAAATCATCATCTGTCCACCTATGCACTCGTTTTCTCTCTCTTTAAAAACCACTTTAACTAAGAAAAAGTGGATCGTTTTCTCACTCTTCAAATTAACCTCTTTGATGAACGTTACGCCAAAAATAGCAGACGAACCAGCAGACATGCCCTGTCTTTAGGGTTTTCTTTCTTAAGATTCTCCGTAAAGCCTGTTTCCACTGTGGGGAAAGGGGAAAGTGTCAAAAACCCTTTTCATCTCTCTTTCCCCTTTCCATTAGAGGCGGGATTATTTGAAATTTTTGTGCCAAGTTTTGGTTTCTTGCTTTCAATTTTCAGTGCATGTCGTCACAAATAATGAAAAGAAGATAGTTTTTAGAGAGAGAGAGGAGGGGGGAAGAGAGAGAGAGAGAGAGAGAGAGAGGAGGTGTTGTTT